AAAAAAAAAGGCCCCTCTTCTCGTACATTTTGCGCTTTGTTCCAAAAATTTTGCAATCATATAGAAAAAAAAAGAGGAGAGAAACATTTTAGAAACTTTAATTAATCATTAAAATAACACAGAAAATGATATATGAAATAACAAAAAAAAAAAAACGAGCAAAATTATCGGATGAGAAATTCTTTAATTCTTCAAGGTTTAGTCGAAATAATCAGTAATCCATTTTTAAGCATTATGTATTTTTTTCTATTCCTATCAAATTTACTTTATTATTATTGTTATCTACAATTGAATTCAATTGGAATGAATTTTTAAAAATTCAAAAAAAAATCAAATAATATTAGTATCAATTTTTACTTAAAAAGACATTAGTGTTAATTTTTTTTATTAAAATAATTCAAAAATTGTCAATAATTTAATTAACTGCTTTTCCCAAAAGATTAGTCGATATGAAAATAACATATCATAACAACATTAGTGAAAGAAAAATTTCTTGCTCAAATTAATTTAAAATCAATAACGAAAAAATTTTGCCTCTATTTAATCTCATTGATAAGCAATAAATGAATTGTCAATTTTTTTTTATTCTTCTGTTATTACTTAAATTAAGTGATACTTAAACATGTAATTTAATTTGAATAACAATAGAGGGATAAAAAATAAAATAAAATCTTACCACAAATTTTAATAATGAACCAAAGTTAATAAAAATAATGAACGAGAGAAAAAAAAGAGAAATGAAATTTTCCAATAAAATATTTTGCCTAATATTAATGAATTAATAAGGAATAATTAAGAAATAAGAAAGAATGAAATGGAAAGCAAAATCGGTCAGAGTGTAAACAGAAGAACTAAATAAAATAAACGAACAACTGTGTTGCACATCTTTCTCGAACTTTCAAATGCATATATCCGAACTGATTACGTTTGCTAGCATTATTTCCTTCCCATAAAAAACACATGAATGCTTCCTTTTCAAATTTATTTTTTTTTCTTCAATCGGTGTGAAAAAGCCAGATGCGAACGATTTATATTGTATAAAAACAAAAATACATTACATTTTATTTTTGAAAAAAAAATTAATAATATAACTTA